ATAGTATAGTATAGTATAGTATATCTTTATTGCGCCTTACTCTCCAAAGGGAGGTATTGGTCTGTTTACGATAAGGGTTTAACATTAACTAGTACAATAAGAAATAACATTCACTTGATTCTTTTATGATTCAAATAAAAATTAAATAAAAATTATAATGCTCATTTCGTTTGTAAGTTGAGAATCTCTTTTCTTTTTTTAAACATTTCAGATAAATAAGTATGCGGGTTACCGGTAAGACGGTTGGTCAGGTATCTTAAAAGTGAGTGAGAATATTACGGAATTGAAGGAAAGGCGTAGATAATTAAATAAGTAATAGTCACCTTTCACTTCCTTTCGAAGCCAGAGGATGTATTCTTTACAATCACTGACAGTCCTCAGGCATTCAATCATTGGTTGCGGTAGACGTTCAAGGGTTTCTCCGATCTCAAAAACATCATCACCGATAGCACCGAGCGGGCGTCGCAGAAAGTCTTCGTTCAACTTCCAAAAAACATTAAACATATGCATATTAATTAAGAAAGTCATTCTCCTATTAAATAAGATAAATTTACTACTTTAATTCAGTGTTGAAGTGTTTAGCACTCCTGTGCTAATTGAGGACCCTAAAACAGTGTTAAGTGAACATAAATGTTTTAAAAATCCCAACTGCTGGAAGGCTGACGAGTTGGTTACAATATGCATCTAGTGGTGGCAGGGAGAACGATTTGAGCCCTGGACTGCCAGATTACAAATTCAGCAACCTTACCACTAGGCCACGCCGCCTCCACGAAGTGAAACAAAAACTGAACAGTTATGAGAGCTATTTTCACTTAAGCATCTTTATCTATCCAGATCCAAGCATGGCACGTGATATAAAATTCAATGGTGTAAATGTTAGGTCTGTCAGCAACTTAATAAAGACCTTAAGGTTTTAAAGCCATTGTCTGGTCTTTGAAGACTAGAACTCCCCTGGTATCAAAAGAGTCAGGTTTGCAAATATTGTTGTATTTTCTGAGCTTCAGCAGCGATTTCATCCCTTAATGTAGGCTCGATTACCAGCCACTGTTTGAAAATGGAACCCGCGTTTCTCCCCAGAAATCGAGCCTCATATAAATGGTAATATACTAAAATGTACCTGGCCGCAAAAGTCATGAAGCAGGTCGAAGTTTCCTCCAAGATCCATGGTTTTTTGAAATTCCAAGATTGCTGCTGCAGCCCCTTCAAACTCTCTCAGCTTGTGATATTGTTTGATTTGAGCAACTCGTTTACGAACAGAAAGGTCAATATCTTCTTCATTGGAAAAGCAGGCCACAACTGCTCCAATTTCGATTTCCAAAGTTTTGGGATCGTTTCTAAACCTGTCGAATAGTTTATCCAATTCTTGAAGACTGATTTCTCCACCAAGGATTCTTTCCCACGTGCTTCGCCATCTCCGATAAGCAGGTGTCCACAAAAGCTCTTGCACTATGTCGACCGTTAATGTCCCACTTGATCCAGCTTCATCTTCGAAAAACTCGACTGCTTTCGGAATGCATTGTTGCCACATGTCACGAAAAAGACGACTCGGATGGACGAGGTGAAGCAATTTCATCATTCTCGCGTTCTTCGTTGAAAGATCAAAGAACCTTACTATCGGCTCTTCACTGGGACCGCGTTTATGGCAAATGTCACGCAGTTGGCAAGAAGCTAGGTCTTTTTCCAGCTTTTCTTTGATTCCTTGCAAATCAACATCTACAAAAAATAAATTGCAAGTAGTCGCAAGTAGCCGCAACTTGAACGTGCGTAGAGACTTGCGTTCCTCGGCCAAACGGACTCGCAAGGTTCCTCGCAAGTACACGCAAGTCGCCAAAAAACCCATTTCAAGTCAGGCATATCCTGCATTTCATTGGCTAATAGGTTGCGATAACAACGAATGGACGTAACTCGACATGTGTTGACTTGGTTTGGGTTGCTAAATTGTCTTGCGTGCAAATTTGATCTCGACCAAAGTGAGCACAAGTCATCGTAAGTCGACGCAAGTGCACACAGGGCCTGGCAAAACGTGGTCACAAGTAGACCCAAGTTTTCAAATTGCGAGTCCGTTTGGCCAGGGCTAAGGTTTTAAGTGGCTGCACTCTGCGCTGCGCTGTTTCCAAATTTTATGAGAACGTGGGTGCGTACAGCTTACCGGCAATAAAAATGACGCGAAATGTACGCGTAATGTACACTTCGATTTACAAAGTTTTTGACTCGTTTTAGGGTAGGAGAGATAGGGCTAAATGACTTTATAACATAACTGACGTAATACGCGCGTTCTGATTGGTCAAAAGCCTATCGTTTTTTGTCCCGGTAAACACATGGTTTCTAGTAGGCAGCACTACGTGGGGCCGGAATTGGAGAGCTCAGAACACTAGCGAGAAAATAAGCTTTATACATATCTTAGGCTTTCAATGGCTCAGTGAGATATTAATTACAGGAATATCTTTACATATATTACATAGAAATTTGTACGGAAAAATTGGCCGAGACATAATTATTGCCGGATCTTCTTAATTTCCATGGCAAAAATTTTACACCGGCTTCGTTTACCCTTGAGTTTAGAAGAAAGTTTAAAGTGCGTTCAGTGCTTTCCAAGGTTGTGGAGGACGCAATTCTGACTACTGCTCGGCTTGAATGATCAATTCGGCAGTTAAAAGATTTCTATGGAGTTAACAATAAGCTTATCGTAGTTTTAAGTTTAAATTCAATGCCTGCATGCAAGCATAACACGATAAATGAATATAGTTCCCATTAAGCTTTCAAGCAATAGTTTTCATTCAATAAAATAAAGAGAAACACCAAGCTCATAGCCTTCAACATAAGTAAAAAAATTCTGAATAAATTTAAGAAGCAGCATTTTTAAGTAAATAAATTCTGAATAAATTTAAGAAGCAGCATTTTTCGAACTAACCTTTATTCATTCGCAGAAATTTTGAAAGTTGAAGTTTGCACTACTTGCAAACTTTTCGCATAGTCTTTTACTTTCGTGATGACTGTCGATGACTAGAACCGACCACAAACCCCCGCATTTTCCTGTTAAAGTTCGCCTTTCAGCGATAACCCTTTTCTTCCCTAGAATATTTTTAGCGCGAAATGTTTTCGTCGATTTGCTCTGCGGATTTTGTTTTTCGGCGCTGA